ATACCACTTCAGATCTATTCTACCTATTTCTGGATCTCTTGTTGCTGTTCTTTTTCGCACTATTCCCAGATTTATTTTTCGACGAATCTTTCCCCGTGTTCTCCTTTAAAGAGACATGCTCGAGACTGCCGTTGCTCGCATGCCCGTTCGCAAATTGTCCAGCGATTTCGGAAGAAGAGACGATAGATCCGTTCTGACTGTATTGGCCAATTACAGAGTGATTTTTTCCGGTTGACTCCTTATTACCGTTGCTGCTACCGCTATTGGCTGTCGTTCCGTGAGAATTAACAAGGCTGCAATTGTCTTCGCTACCGCTGTTGCCGATCTGCGACTCCGATTCACTGTACCGGTCAACTGGAATCAAGTTTTAGAATGGGAAAACCGCGATCCTACGATCGGTACGTGAATATATAAAATAGTTTGACCGATCGATCGAAGAATTGATCAGTCGATTACTCGATCGACAATTTGTACGGTTACAATGCGATCAATTGACCGATTAGCCGTTGAGAGATTAATCAGTCAAGAATTACTTAACCGCTTTAATAAAAATGTGGTTTTATTTGATCGATTAAAAAGTTTCGATTATCAAAGCGATAATCATTAATGGCATAAATATTCAAGATTTTATACCATTAATATATAAGATATATAAAATTTTGAATGTTAAGTTATCATAGAGTTTTCTGATAAATAATTCGATTCAAATGTGTCAAATAATAAAAATTAAAATTATTGAGTTAAAATTTCGAACTGTTTAATCGATCAGTTTTTTTTTTTGTATTCTTTAACATTCTATGACGTATAGAAAGATTACCTAGAACCAAATATAGCGAATATATACATGAAAGTGTATCATCGAGACAATTTTCTTTTGAAATTAAAATAGAATAATGCAATATAATTTTAAATATGAATAATTGTTACTTTACCACACTTTGATTGATTTAATAAATATTATCGAAAGTATTTGTTTTTAAATACAATTATCTTACATTGAAAGTATAAAATAAAATATTTTTTATACCTACATTAATATAAAAAACATAAATTTATTTAAAATTTAGATACAGAAGAAAGATAAATATGGAAAATAAAATAATAATGGTAAGCTAATATTGTACACTTTCAGCATGTTCAATAAAAGCAAATCACAAGTTTTCTAATAACAAATATGTAGAAAAAAGTAATATAGTAGATAGAATCGTTAAATCAAAGAGTAGCTTTTTATAGAGTTTCTAAAGAGAATAGACGTTGAATTTTTTTATCATTAAATACAGAAAAAAATGAATGCAGATGAAAACAGAAAGAAAAAATCAATGAAAAATATAAGAATGTTATGCGAAAAGTTATTTTCAAAATAGATTGAAAAATAAATTAAAATTTATTTATAACAATTAAATACAGAAAAGAAATTATATTAAAATTCGAAATAATAATAGATATCCTTCGAGTTTTTTTTTTAATTCAATCAATTGTGTTTCATAACAATCCACATTTATTATGCTCTTTTTTACTTTCTTTTTAAAGACAATCTGATTGATACATTAAAAAGAAAAAGAAATACATTAAAGGATAACTTAAAAATTAAAAAGAATTATTGCCGAGGAAAGGATAAAAAGAAAAGTTGGAAGGGGCAATAGGATGAAAAATAAATTGTTTTCTTTTTTTCTTTAAAGAATTAACTATCTCAGGAATATCCATTGAGGTCCTTACTTTTTTCCTGGGTGTTTTCCACTAGTCCACTAACTGCCTGTAAAAATTTAATATTTCTAATTTATTGAAATTATATCATTTTAAAAATATTTTTGAATATTCAATTTATATTTTTTTCTCTATAGTCTATAAAAATGTAAAATAGTAAAAAATAATTATATATATAGAAGACAACATTTATATTCTATTCTAATTAGAATATTTTATATATACAAATGTATATTTTTATAGAAACGTTATAATTTTAAACTAATATCCTTAGAAATTTAATATAAATTTAATTCTGTTATTTATTTTATAAAATAAAATATTGATTACTAACAGCCATAGAGGTGATGGAAGATTTTGAGAATAGCCTTTCAGCTTCTTTAAATTTTCTATTTCGTTTATCTGCTTTACTATTAGCATTTTTATTGCTCGCTAAATATCTGTCCCAACCACGTATTATATTACCATATAGTTGTGTATCTTCCAAATAACTACCTTCAAATGCATAGATTTGACGTTCTAAATTGGCAAGAGTATCCTGTAAAATTATAAAATAATGAACAATCAAAAGATTGCACCAACATAACCTCTAAACATCTAAAATAACCTAATGTAATTTTCAGAAAATTTTTTAAGATGAATATTAAATGACAAATAAAATTCTTTTTTACAACAAATCCGATGATATCGTTTGTTTTAAATAAATACATTTTGTAAAAAGATAGAAATAAATTTAAAAAAAAAAAGTATAATGTGTATTTGACAATTCTTTTGATACTTACAGCTATTTCTGCTTTTCGTTTCACTAATTCAGCAAGTTCAGCTCGCAAATCGACAGAGGATTTCGTCGACATTATGCATTTAAATTTATTGATACAACAACAATAGTTCGAACTCTTTTGCTTAAAATACGTCTTTCTACATTCAACAAATACATAACAACTCTATTTTTTTGATGAAAACTTTCTTGACTGACTTGAAGTTATCACAGTCTGAATACAGGTTCAAAATATTAATGATATAAAAGCGGGTATATTTAAATGCGATGTAAAAAACGAAATACAATTTTTCTAACAAAATTCTTTTGAAAATTTAATAATTAATTACAAAGATAAAATAAGACAACAACCATAAATATAAATTCTTTTTTATTTAATCATTTTTTTTTTCTATTAATAAAATGTTAAAAAATTTTATAAAATATATAATATATATTGGAAAAAAAACATTGCTTATTTTTTTTCCATTTTCTCTAAAAATACTATACTATCTACACTAAGATATTTATTTACTAATACATATAATACGTAATATTATATTATAAAATTATATATATATTACAATTACATAATTTGTTGAATATTAATATTACTACAGTATCTATGCATCGATTTTATTTTCATAAAAAAAGAAGAAAGAAAAATCGCACTAATACAACATATAAGACACATATTATAAGTAACTATATAGAAATCAATTTATAAAAACAATTACAAAAGAAAATTATAATTGTTATAATTTGCCTTGAATTATATACAAATTACAATAACAAATCATGAAATATTAATATTTCTCGGTATTCTGAATAGAAAAAAAAATCAAACTTATAACATAGCTCTAAGAAAATACATAAGACTATTCTGCTACTTGTTACAAACAATTTGAAAGGTTGAACTGAATCACGAAACGAGAAATTTAGCTGTCCTCGAGTTTTTCCAATGTTCTGAGTTTTTCCTACGTTCAAGGTCGTATTTGCAGAGGAAGTAGAGAAGAAAAAAGCAAGAAGGACAGAGGATGAGGGAGGGAGAATGTGCGATTCCTCCCCTCCTGCAAACGATCTACGCCTTCTTGGCGCTTGCCGATCATATATGAAAGAACACGTGTCACCAGATTCTCTCAGTGGTACCTCGAAGAGATCCATCCACGTGGATCATTGTCATTTAATCGTGATATCTTGAAGAAATTTTTATAAAAGAATTTCAGTGTTTTATTTAATATTAATTTTGAATGATATTTGACTTTGTATCGAGTTTAGATATATTTAGATAATAATAGATATCTTTTGAAGAAAGAATTGGAAGGATAGTGGTTGAAGAAGAATGAATCATGAGAATAAGGTTGAGAACTTCAATGCAGGCATTAATTACGTGAGTATTTTTTTTCTTTGAATTAAATGACAGTTGTGAGATAGTTTGGAGAAATTAATTTTTCAATTTAAAATTTATCAATTTATTTAAATTCGATTTTTAATTATCGATTTTAATAATCAAAGATAATGTGGAATTTTTACAATTACTTATAATAAAAAATTAAAATTATTAATAATAAAATTATATTTTTAAAACTAAATTTTAATTTTTAATATTATTATATATTATATTGGAAAATTTGGAGAAAGGAAAATTTTATTTTCTATAAAATATTTTTATAAAATAATATATCATCTAATAATAATATTCTCTAGTTTCAACTAGTCCAACCAATGGCCAACTTTCGACAAGTTTTTTCTGATACTTTGCAAAAATCTATTCATTGCACTATTGTGAAACTAGATCGCAGATTATCTTTCATTATGCATTCTCTTTTTCTTTTTTCATCTGCAAAGAAATCGAAATAGAAGTCACGAAACCCTGTGCAAAGCTTGTATTTTACATTTTAAACGTCTTTCAATATTCTTTGCGTAACGAGATGATAAATTTTATTTGCATTGTAAAATTTACATATATGTGTATTCCATATTTATTTTATTTAAAGTTAAAGAATTAAAAATTAAGAAATTTGATTGATAGTAAGTTCAGCTTTTAATTTACATTGGCACATATATAGATAATGGCTGAATTAATAAATGAATTAATAAATTACAGTTGATTAACATAAGTTAAATAATTTAATATAATTTAATTTATATATCGTATTGTTTAGATCAATTTATTTAAATCTAAAATAATTTAAAATAAATTTAAAATTGTAATATATTAATGATTCATTATTATGATTCATTCATTAACAATTCTTTACATAATTGATATTATTGATATTACATAATTGTTAATTAATGATATAAAAAATTTAAAAAAAATTATCAGTTAATGATTATTTAATGATAATTTCATCACATTATTATATTTGTTTCCGTACTATTATCTCCTCTTATGTGATTACCTCTTATTATGAATTAAGGTCTTTAAAGCATTATTTCGAAAAAATAATATAAATGAAATATACATCTTGTATTTAATCTGTAATATTATAAAATTTAAACTATATTGATTAAGTGAGATTAGAATGAACAAGAATTAAACGGTCATATTTAATTATATTAATTAAACTATTTATTTTTGTACATTTACATTATGAAACTTGAAATTATGAAAAAAATAATATATAAACACGGGATATATTATTATATTACATTTATTTACATTATCCATCTATAATATATCAATGTTACGATAATTCAACTAAAATATTATTTTAATATTTTTGTCATTCTTCTATATATCTTTAATTTAAAATGTATGAAATTACACTTATAAATGTTCATTCATTAAATATTATTTATTTCTCAATAAATTAAATGAGTATTATTAATGGTTATTTAGATATTGTATCTATATCAATGATGATTGAACTTTATCATGATAACCACATAAATCGCGAATAAATCGATAATATTTTCTTCAGAAAGTAAATTTATTATAATTAAATATTGAGCTTATAATAATTAAGTATTGAGTCTGTAATTATTTTCTATTGTTTATTCTAAATTATTATAACAATTATGATATATATATATATTATTCAATATTATTTAATATTTTTTCTTACATTGAATATTAAAATTAAAATATAAAATTATTTGATGATACAGAAAATTGGAAAAAAAAATTGGAAGCCAGAAGGATGTTTAACAACAAATATTTAACTTTATTTTAGAGACTATTCAACAAACACGAATGCACGAATGTATTGTGCAAAGATACATAAAAAAAGATACGAGAAAGATATGATATGATAAGGTTTCACTTTAACGACGTTTAACGATTCTCAGTTTCTTCAGATATTCGAAGCATCATGCCATGAGAAATTCTTCGTCTCCCACTATCGAACCGAAACTTACTTTCCTTTTCACTTTCTCTGTTGACGGAACTTAAATCTCACACAGTCCATCCCGAACTTCCTATGCGCCTAGACACTTCCTTTCTCGGTGTCTCCCTCGAAGAGAAAGATTCCAAACAATGTTGTTGTCTTGCATTTTAATAAATTAAATCGTTAGTGATTACTTTCTCTTACGTTTGATATCGAGAAAAAAAAAAAACAAAAGTCGTTTCGAACAAAATGAACAATTAAAAGATAAAGATAATTTTTTTAAATCTCGCGAAAATCTTAGACAATCTTGTAATTGAGTACATTACATAATGGGTATATATACAAAGTCCTTGTTCGAGAATCAAAGTACGCAGAGGAAAAGTAATCAGGTAAACAAAATTTACGCGTCTTTACGTTTAATTATTTAATTAAATTCAGAAATTTATTCGAAAATAATTTTTATCTAATTTTTCTATTATCCACGCGCGACGAAACGTGCTCTTAATATTTCGTTATAAATCATTTCGTTCAAATATTTCCAGATACTCGCGACGAATGTGATACAGCAGATGCATCACGTGTCGAGGGAGAGACGAGGCGAAACGTATGGAAAATTCAAAGAATTTCGCGGTTGTACCATTTGGCTGACAGGATTGTCCGGCGCTGGAAAGACTTCCATATCGTTTCAACTTGAAAATTACCTTGTCTCTCAAGTAAATTTTCCAACTTAACTTTCGAACAATAGAACGAGAAATGAATATATTGAATACATTTTCACGATTGCATTTGATTTACAAATTTTATTTTTTTCACCAGGGTATACCAGCGTACAGCATCGACGGAGACAACGTCCGCCATGGGTTAAACCGGAACCTCGGTTTCACCAAGGAAGATCGCGAGGAAAACGTGCGAAGAGCGGCGGAAGTGGCAAAATTGTTTTCCGATTGCGGGATAATCACGATCTGCAGCTTCGTTTCGCCATTCGAAGCGGACAGGAGAGCGGCAAGGAAGATCCACGAGGATTTTAACTTGAGATTCTTCGAGATATTCGTGCAAGCATCGATGCAGACTTGCGAGGCGAGGGATGTGAAAGGTCTTTACGAGAAGGCTAGAAAAGGGATGATCAAAAGCTTCACGGGTATCGGGCAGGATTACGAGGTGCCCAAACATGCGGATCTCGTCGTGAACACGGAGGTTCACGATTTGGAAACGTCCACGAGATTGGTGATCGAGTTCCTGAGGAAGGAGGGAGTGGTTCCGCCGATACGGGAGAAAGTCGAAGAATTATTTGTAGAGGAGAAGAGGATAGAAGAGGCGAGGAGGGAGGCGGAGAGTCTTCCTAGTTAGTTGGAAATGTTTTTTTTAATTTCTAATCAGAAGGGGGGAGGGAGATAAAGATGATAATTATTATAAGTGAAATTTTTTTTCTTTGAATACAAGAAATTAATAATTTTCTCCTCTCTCGTGAATTTTCATGAAATTTATTTTATTATGGATATTGAATTCTTATATCATTTTCATACGTGTACTTTCTGATATATATGATTGATTTAAAGTATTGAACTAATATCGATTGATGATAATCATTATAAGTGAAATTTTTTTTCTTTGAATACAAGAATTATTTTATTATGGATATTAAATTCTTATATCATTTTCATACGTGTTTCATACTTTCTGAATAAATATGTGATTGATTTAAGGTATTGAAATCACTAATGTCGATTGATGATAATTATTATAAGTGAAATTTTTTTTCTTTGAATACAAGAAATTAATAATTTTCTCCTCTCTCGTGAATTTTCATGAAATTTATTTTATTCTGGATATTGAATTCTTATATCTTTTTCATACGTGTACTTTCTGAATAAATATGTGATTGATTTAAGGTATTGAAATCACTAATG